AAAAAAAGATAAATATTGTATGAGGCCATGATAATTTTAAAATTAAGATAAAAATTATGGTACTATAAGAAACAAACATTGATGGTTACCAAAGATGGAAGGGGAAGGGAAGGGAAGAAAAGTAATATCGTAGCGGGAAGACAGGTGCTAACTTGGTTACGGGTAAGATAATACTAGACTAACAGAGATGATAAAAAGGGGGTATGTGCAGGGCAAGTTAACTGGAGAGTTGATAAATTGTTCAAGTGGTAGAATACAGAAGTGATGATCTGATAATAACCTCCCACCTAATTCACAATAAATATATTTCTTTTAATATTATGATACGATTAAGTGGGAGATATGCTATCTGACAATTAGTTGTCATTGTTGTTATTAGTCGCCATTGAGCCAGTCAAACCCAAAGAGACCCGATGGACAACAGAACAAAGCCCCGTCAGTCCTGTGCCATCCTTACAATTGTCCCCATGCCTGAGCCCATTGTTTCATCATGTGTCCATCTGGCTCCTTGCGTGCCTGACTCTTTTGCGGTATCTCCACTTTACCAAGTATGATACCCTTCTCCAGGGCAACACATATCTCACCAGACAATTCCAACTTGTTGATACAGGAATTACATTTATGAAATGCTATCTTCCACTTCTAAGAAACCAAACACTTATTTAATCAAGGCTGTTTGGACTGTTAACCACAAGGTCAGCAGTTTGAACCCACCAGCTGCACCAGAGGATAAAACTGAGGCTTTCTACTCCCCAAGAGGGTTACCGTTTCAGGGCAAGTCTACACTGTCATATAGCGTTGCTATAAGTCAGAATCAACTGATGGCAATGCGTTAGCACATAGCAATATGGCCACCTAGTGGGGTTACTGAGTAAACGATGGAATGCTATCCACAAGGTCTGGAGTTCAAAGCCCCTCCATAAAAGAATGTTTAGGCTTTCTCCTCTCTTAAAGATTCACAGCCTGACATTCACAGGGCCAGTTCTACTCTGGGCTATGGGTTTGCTGTCAGTTGGAACTAACTCGATGGCAGTGAGTGTGGATGTCAGATAATTTTAAAATTATCATGGCCTCATACAATATTTATCTTTTTTTTAAAATCAATTTATTGGGGCTCAGTGATTTGATTCAGTGGATTTAGTTTGGTTTTTAGGAGGAAGGTAACATGTAATTTTGTATACATTGTATCATTATAAAATTATTAAGGATAACTTGAGGGTTGATAGCAATAAAGTAATACAAACAAAGCACTCTTTTTAGATGAGCATTTTGGTATTTCCGTCATTTATGATTAGGCAGAAATTAACTTCCATCATCACTTTGTAAGGTAAAACAATCAAACTTAAATAAGGTCTGTTTTTGTGTAAGTAATCTCTCAGAAACTTCATTTTTCCAGGAAACAGGCTAACCTGAGAAACATGAACCACATACCCTTCCTTTATCTTCTCACAGATACATCACTGAAAATTTTAGTCACTTTTTTATAGAGCAGCTTTTTGTTTCCCAGATCAGAGGGCTTCTTACCCCCAAAATTCAGCATAGCATTCCCCCAAAGAAGAGCACTTTCACCCCCAAAGTGCCACATCGGAGACTCACCTCAGCTGCAGACTCTCAACTCAAATAATCGGCTGGTTGGCTGAATATTGGTTGTATAATTTACTCTCCATTTTAATACTTCTTTTCAGGTTGTAACCTCGTTTAGGATGAAATAAGTGATCTTCCCCTTTCTCATTAGAGTACTGAGCACATATTAAATCCACCCCCCTAAAGGCCAATGGCTTTGGAGTCAATTCTGGTTCATAGCAACCCAAATGCAGTTTCTGAGATTGTACATCTTTACAGGATCGGACAGCCTCATCTTCCTCCTGAAGAAGGACCTTGAGATTTTCAGTTCAAGGCTGAGCCCACAGTGCCACCAAGGTTCATTTTTTTAAAGTATTATAGGTCTCATTGTCACCACTGAAATGATCCACAGTGATGGAAGCAAAGCCTGTCATCCTTTCAGCCACAATTTCCCGTCTGGACACCAGGATCAGCTGTGCCCACTTCACAGACAGGCTGCAGCACCAAGGTTCATTGAGCCCATAATAGGCACCTAATAAATATTAAAGAAATAATTGTATTCTTTTGCTAAAATACCACTGTTCTCTAACCAAGGAAGAAAAGCTAAAGTTAGAAAATATAGGAAGCAGATGAACTCTGTGATCAGAAGATTTCTAAAGCAAACCTTTACCAGATATTCATGTATTAAAATAAGAAACGTTAAACATGAAAATAACTTTGAAAGAGCACAACAGCTGCTGGGATAAATCCCAAAAGATTGGCAATATGGAATTAAAACAAACAAACAAGCAAACAAAACAAATTTACAGATTAAGTGATTAAATTCCTCAAAATACCACTCCAAGGATCACATTCTGTGGAAATAGGTAGGTAGCAAAGAATGACATTTCATTTCATATGGTTTTATATAATTTAAATTTCTGACAAGAACAGTATAACATATAATTGGTTAAAAATTTAATTTTTTATTATAACAGACTATATTATTTTTAAGTTAGACATATTTTTAAGTAACTATATTTCTTTGACTAAGAGTCTTTATTATCATTCATATATTTTTCCAACTAGTCTCAAAATACCCTGATAACATCTCTCTTTGAACCATCTTTGTACCCATTCATGATTATGTAATCACTGCCTCAACTATAGCCAAGACATCTCTCGTACATTAACTTTGAATGATAGTCTTTTTCTGTCAATCCCTATTACATGATGTATGCTACACATGATATTTTTCAATCTTTTAAAAATGGTGGTCTTATCCTATACGTGAAAACCCCTCCTGTCCACGGCCATACAAATATTAAACTTCTACTGATCTCTCCTAACTTAATAAACCAAATATGAATATGTTAACTTGATTTGCTGATGTAGTTTTAGGGGCCATCAAGTTGGTTTGAACTGATAGCAACCTTAGGCACAACAGAAAGAACACCACCCAGGCCTGTGCCATTCTCGTAATTATCCCAGTGCATCATGAACCCATTGTTGCAGCCACTATGGCAACTCACCTCCTTGAGGGCCTTCCTCTTTTTCACAGTCCCTCTGCTTTACTAAATGTGAAGTCCTTCTCCAAAGAGTGGTCTGTCCTGACAACATGTCCAAAGTATGCAAGAGGAAGTCTCCCTTTCTGGTCCTTGATACGCTCTTGTCTGGCAGTATTTCTACTTAGACAAATCAGTTTGCCTTTTAGCAGTTCTTGTGTTTTCAGTATTCTCCAACAGCACAATTCAAATGTGTTGATTCTTCTTCAGTCATTCTTATTAATGTCCAACTTTCACGTGCATATGAGGCAATGGAAAATACCATGGCTTGGATCAGGTGCACCTTAGACTTCAAAGTAACATCCTTGCATTCCAAAATTAAAGAGTTCATTTGTAGCAGATTTAGTTAACGCGATGCATCTTTTGATTTCTTGACTGCAGTTTCAATGAGCATTCATTGTGTTTCAAATTGAGATGAAATCCTTGAAAACTTCACCCTTTCTCTATTTATCATGATGTTACCGATTGGTTCACTTGTGACGATGTTGGTCTTCCTTACATCGAGTCAGGATCTGCACTGGTTTCAATGGTTAAACTTTAGTGTCACCCAGGAGCTCCTTTTCAAAGATTGGGTATGCTTATATTTCTATTGATCCTTATGAAAGTCCTGCACACATACTTAATGTATGTGACCTGAATTACTTATGCCTCTATCTCATTCAGCAATGAAGCATTTTATTGTATTTCTTTTGTATACTACTAAGGTACGTATTGCATTATAATTTATGTTCCAAAGTTTTATTTTTTCTTCTCTTCTCTTGCTAGCACCCACAGGATGATAAGGAAACATAAAGTTCTTCTTTTTCACTCCCAATATTTTATGATGTAAAAAATGAAATGTCCTAAAAAATTTCCCACTAAAAATGCCTAAAAACTCATATTGGAAAGTTAAAGACATAGATATACATCAAAATAAATATAATTGCAAACTTACATCGGGGAAAGGCTGGTGTTCAGAATGCAAAAATTTACAACTCATCAGTACAAATAAGAAGAAGCTAAGGGGAAAATAGACAAAATTGCTATACCAATGGCCAATATGTACATAAAAGATCATCAGCACACATAGCTGGTGAGAATCTACTATGATGATGTCACTTTCCAGAATCACTTCAAAGTTTATTAAAATGTACATGACATGAAGTCTCGCTTTTTATGCTTCTATGGAACTTTCTGAAAGTATATCTTCCAACACAAACTTGTTCATTCTTCTTTGAAATCTAAGTGTATTCAGTATTTTCACCAACATCATAATCTGGTGGCATTGAAATTTTTTGGTCTTCCTTCCTTACTGCTCAGCTTTTACAAGCTGATTAAAAACACAATAGCTTGAGTCAGGCAGATTTTAATCCTTAAGGTGTCTTCCTTCCTTTTTAATACTTGAAAAAGAATCTTTCAGCAGATTTGCCCAATGCAATATAGTATTTGATTTCTTGACTTCTATTTCATGGGGCTTGATTGTGAACTTAAGTAAAATGGAAGCCTTGACAACTTTACTATTTTCTCCTTTTATCATGATGTTGCATATTGTTATTGTTCAAGTATGAAGAATTTCATTTTTCTTTATGTTGAGATCTAATCCATACTGAAAACTTTAGTCTTGGATCTTCAAGGGTAAGTGCTGCAAGTACTCCTTACATTCAGTACGCAAGATCAGCAATCTACATCTTCACAGTCTTCCTTCCCCTGCAACACAGTGATTGCTGTGTTGTCTAAGTATCCATTCCAAAGAAATAAACATAGGTCAACACAGCAGGTGGACATATGATAGTTATACATATGCCTATACAGCAGGTGGACATGTGATAATTGTACATATGCCTCTACAGCAGGTGGACATATAAGAGTTGTACATGTGTCTCTATAACAGGTGGACATATAATAGTTGTAGCAGCATTATTTTTTATGGAAACAGATCAAATGCCCATCAATTTCTGAGTTAATAACTACAATGTGATATACTGAAACAATGAAATTGTACTTAACAGTTAAAAGGATATACAGTATTAAAACTGCTGCCACTATCAGATTATTAGAATCAGTACAATATCTTTCAGTTCCTTGACATTTATTCTGAAATGATAAGTCTTCTAGTTCTATATATTATACATGATTTATTTTATGGTATCCTAAGTACATTTAAAAGGCATTAATTTTTTTAAAAAATAGAAAACTGTAAGTTTAAATGTATTCCAAGTAAAAAGGAATGTGCTGGAGAGACATGTAAGCTTACATGTGAAAGTAAAGTCCAGAGCTTGAAAATTCTCTCATTTCTGAAGATAGGTATCATAATGAGCATAAAAGACTACCTCCCTGTATTTTGTATATGGGAATTCCATTAACTTGCTCTCTTAAGGAGCCATTTATTGAGATGAAAAGTGGTCAGATATGTGTTTGCAGTGAAGACTAAGGTTGTGCATTATTCCAACCTTTGGAATCAATCAAATGCTATTTACAATATTCTGGATAGCACAGGAAGAAAAACTGATTACCTCCAAAGAGTTAATAATTCACACAAAATATTACATACAACACATACTTGTAGAAGGAAAAGATCTTCCTGCAATTCAGGTTTATGAATTTTCTGTACAATGAGTGCTAATTACAGCCTTCCTGTTTCTGGCTGAAGTATACTTACAGACAAAGCTTCATTTTGAAAAAGTATTCTTTAATCAATGCAATCATTCAAATCAACAAATATTAATTGAAAAGCTTTTTTATACCAGAGATTTTGGGAAATGTTTAGAATAATATATTTCCTAGATTTTTAGGAAGTTTGTAATCTCTGTAGGTACAAGGCATATCATCAATTAAGTACACTACTACAAACTAAATGTAAGTTTCTCCATGATTTTTAATGGGTAAAACTTATGGATCACTTACTGTTCACTTACGGCCTTCAAATCAGTGCTGACTCAGAGTGACTTCTTGCGCTTTTTCAAGACTGTAATTGTTTTGTCTTGTTTATTAAATCATTTTATTAGGGGCTCATACAACTCTTATCACAATCCATACACACATCAATTGTGTAAAG